AAGAAATTGGTTCCTAGCCACTAAAAAAGAAGAATAAATCAACTAATTGTTCATTAGTACATAATTAATTCTATGAACTTTTTTTTTTTTCATTATAACTTTGGGGATTAGAGATTCATTCATATGTAAATTATATTAATGATCTCAAATCTCAATTCCCAAAATTGAAATTTCAAAATAAAAAATAAAAAAAATGTCAAGTTTTGGAACCCAAACAAAATGCAAAGCATGTGACAAAACTGTGTATGCTGCAGAAGTGATTTCTGCAGGTGGTGTTAATTATCATAATACTTGTTTCAGATGTAGCCATTGCAATGGAAGACTTGCTGTAAGTTTTAAAAAAAAATTATTTCATTAATTTTTTGAATGAATCTGATCGATCGATTCGACTGATATGATGAATGGAATGATAGTTTGTGTTATAGTTAGTTAGGACATTATCTCCCTTATTTCGTGAATTTTTTAAGGTATTGTTTTTAAACGGATCGAATCGATCGATCGATTAGACTGATATGAGAGATGGAATGGTAGTTTTTATGTTATAGTTAGTTAGGACATTATCTCCCGTTATTTTATGATTTTATTGATGACTATCGATTAATTCGATTGATATGATAGTTTATGTTGTAGTTAGGAAATTATCTCTTTTATTTTATACTTTTTTGAAAACTTGTTTAATTTTGTGAACGAATTGGATTGATCGACCCGATTGATATGATATATGACATGATAGTTTGTGTTATAGTTAGTTAGTACATTATCTTCCTTATTTGATGATTCTTTTTGTAGGCTCATTTTTGAACGAATTGGATCAATTTGACTGATATGATGAATGAAATGAATATTTAGTTAAGACATTATCTCTTTTATTTTATGATTCGTTTTTTAACAAATCGAATTGATCGACTCGAATAGAAATTATCTAAAAAAATGTATGGCTATGATGGTAATCAATAACACCCCTTTATGATGTGACCCTTCCCTTCAACCTGATGTGATTGAAAAATACTTTGTGTATCAGACTGTTATTATCGTATATTTTGTTTGATTTTTTCGTTTGAATTTATAGTTAAGCAACTATTCTTGCTTGGATGGAACATTATTTTGCAAGCCACATTTTGAACAACTCCTTAAGGAGAAAGGAAGTGGTGCTTTGAAGTCTTCCTCACGTTAGTTTTTCTAAATTTTGTTTAATTAATTATATTCCTAATTAATTTTGTTATTTTCATAACCTAATTATTTATTCATTTTATATCAAATGTGCAGTTGGGAGGAACAATGATCTGGTATGTATCTTATGCCAACTTTAATTATCGAGCTCTTTTTAAATATTCTGTTCAATTCAATTTATGTATCGAACTTTTTTTAAATATTCTGTTCAATTCAATTTATGTGAAATAGTTAAAAATGACACATAATTTTTAAAAAAAATAAAAAGCTTTTGAAACTTATGAAGTCGTGATATTAAACATGTTTATAATTTTGACACTTATAGCCTTAAACTTATAGCCTTAAACATATCATGTGACTATAACGCTTTTCATTAAATACATATAAATATTTGTATGTAAACCAATAATTATTATGTATATATTAATTCGAGATAGGAACTAATAAACTTTAATTTCTGAATCCGTCTCTGTTGATGCTCTGAAATGTTTTTACTTTATTAATTATGTGGAGATGATAATTGTTGTAATAAATCAACAATATTTTAACTTATATCCCTTTCATGTTTTTATTTGTTAAAATGATTAATTTGTTACTAGTTATATATCATATTTTGATTTTTTTCTTTTGAATATTTTTGTGATTACAGAACAGAAGCCCTAGCAAGTTGTCCTCTCTATTTTCTGGCACTCAGGAAAAATGTGCATCATGCAAGAAAACTGTGTACCCATTGGAAAAGGTAAAGAATTTTTTTCGAGTCTCGAGAATGAAAAACTTTTTAGTAGGACGCGCTTAAATCCTTTAGTAAGCTTATTCACGCGAAACTGAAATAGTCAGGCCTGTGAATTTTCAATATCAAATAATTTAACAAAAAAAAAATTGTATTTAGTTATATTGTGGTATGTTCTAAAACTAATTAAGCTTAACTAATAGAGATGACTAGTAATTAATCTGGTTGTTGGACCTAGACCTACTCAACCATTATATTTCATTGAGGTGGATATATATAGCTTAATATTGAGAGATTATTTCTTTCAATTAAAGGGGAAGAGATACCTAAATACTACTCGAACTCTTTAAAAATGTCAATACATGCATATCGAATCTTTCAAAAAATAGTAGTATATATTTTTGAATAATCCACATGAGCGTGCAAACATTTTTGAAAAGTACTAGCAACTTATATCGATTTTGTCATCTTTACAACATCTAATTAAGATTTTAATCATAATTTATATATGGGAAGAATGACAAATATACTCCCGAACTATCGTAAATGGTATGCAGATACCCTCCGTCATACTTTTGGGACATTCGTGCCCCTGCCGTCCAACTAGAGCACATATACCATTTATACTAACGGACATACACATGTCATAATCTTATGCACCAACCTGACATTTATTAAATATTAGATCGACAGATAAGATTGTGTCACGTGTCCCTATTTAGTTTTCTGTTAGAGTGAAGGGCATATATGCTCTAGTTTTTGGATGGCAAAGGCATCAATGTCCCAAAAGTATAATGGAGGGTATATGCATATCATTTACGATAGTTCGGGGGTATATTTTTCCTTTCCCTGTATATATATATATATGATTGATTGATAAAAACAGGTGACAGTAGATGGAGAATTTTACCATCAATCATGCTTCAAATGTGCACATGGTGGATGCAAACTTACAACATCATCATATGCAGCATTAGATGGACTTGTTTATTGCAAGCCTCATTTTTCTCAATTGTTCAAAGAAAAAGGTTCCTATAATCATCTTACAACATCTACAAATAAAAAAAATCATAGTGTTGATGAACAAGAAGAAGGTTCAACAACTACTACTACAACTACTGATGTTGATGAGCCACCACAGCCTCCTGTTGAAGAGACTCAAGTTTAGTCCTTGACTTTTCGTCGGCACGAATCCATATTTAATCAGATCCAAAATGGATATCGAGACATCGGATGAAAAATAAAAAAAATATATAGTTAATATTATATTATTGTCAATGAGATTAATCATATTCTTGATGAGAGAATATGGTATGGTGAAGTGATGATTAATTGGTTTTTTTGATTATTTGTTTCTTCATTTGAAATTTTTGTAAAAGCCTAGTAAGGCATCATATATATTTGTAATGTTTTTTTCCTCAATTTTGCTTTAATAAGAAATTAACACATTGTTCTCTTACTATTTTCCCTTTTTTTTTTTTTGGTTTAATCATATAGCATGATTAATTCAAATTCGGGTCAAATACTGATAGGTCAATAACACACTAAAGAGGTAAGTCAAGTACTTGATATATAGTGAGTAGAGCTGTCAAAATGGGCTTGGCCAGTCTAATCCAACCCTTGAACTAGATGGGATTGGGCTCAATTTTTCAGCCCATTTAGAAACGAGGCTTTTTAGCCCAGCCTCATTTGGCCCGCTGACCTCATAGGCCCAATTCGCAAGCCTCAGAGGCCAGCCCGCGGACTGTGAATTTTAAAAATATTTACTATATATATTTTAAGTAGTATTTTACTTGTTAAGATTTTGTCAATAAATAATTTTTAAAAATACCAATATAAAATCAAGACTATATTTTTTTACATATCTTTTACATTTTAGGGCCATTAGCCCACTAAATTTTTTTATTAGCCCAAGTCAATTACTCCATTATAACTAAGAATCTTTGACCTCTTTTACTTTTAATTTTATGCCTAATTTTTCACTTCTCCTTTATTGTCTTGTTTATGAAAATAGTGATCATGTAATTTTTTTGCTCAGATGAAACTTATGAATGTTGTATCTTGGCTATTATGTATTTGTTTTGTAAATATGCACTGAAGTATGTGTAATTCGTCAACGTTCATATTCTTTCTAACAAGAAAATGTTATCCGTTTTTTGGTTGAAGGGCCAACCCGTCTCAACCCGTGGCCCGCTTAGGACTGGGTTGGGCTGCTATTTTATAGGCCCTTCAATTAAAAGGGTCAGCCCGTCCCAACCCATTTAACTCTCTAGCTCGTTAGGGTTGGGTTGGGCCAGCCCATTTTGACAGTTCTAATAGTGAGTTTTGAGGGTCAAGTTATAAGAAATTGGATTGAGAGGAGAGTTACAATCCTGCCGAGAATGTCATTTGCGAGTGAAGGCGCTACTATGCTCCTTAATGAATCGAATGGTCCTTCGACCTTCATTTGACTTCATGGTCCAACATAGATCTTGTGAGACAAGGCATCCTATCAAAAGATTTTTAATTCTCAAAACTTGAACTTGACATCGCTAGTCAAATAAGGAAATGGATTGCTAGGAGAGTCACAACCCATGCCAACATGAGTGCTGATATCCCCTTAATGAATTGAATGGTCCTTCGACCTTCATTTGATTCCATCGACCAACAGAAATCTCATGAGACTCGCCGTCCTATTGAAAGGTTCTTCATTTTTTAGAATTCAGACCTATCGACATTGCTAGTCAAATAAGGAATTGGATCAAAATGAGAGTCACAGTCCTACCAACAACAGCGTCGGGCTAGGGTGTCGCCTATGTCATTGATAATGGATCCAAAGGTCCTTCGACCTTCATTTGAGTCTGACGGCCGATATAAATTTCATCGGATCCACTCTCCTACTATAAGATTTTGAATTCTCAAAACTCAAATCTGACATGACTAATCAAATATTTATAGATATTTATTGAATTTCTTACTATACATTACACGATATGCACAAAAGTTAATGAGTTCCCGCGAACCACGAAGAGATTTAAAACCACATTATACAACATCACGTGCTAATCACGTGACAGCCCCCTTGCCCCTGCACCACCAATTGTAAAACTCTCACCATCTCAATTTCAAAACTCAAGAGAGGATAAATTGGGATTTTGAGGTGCAGTGCAAAGAGACCCCATATATAAATTTTTCAATGCTATTCAATATTATCTGATGAAATTCACTTTATTTTTTCAAGAATGAACAACCTTAGACTTGACAAAACCTCAACACCCAACCCCTTCTTGTCAATTTCATCTCTACACCATTCAAGAATCTCAAAATCCCTTTGTTTACCCAGAAAAGTTCTTGTTTTTGCTGACAAAAATGATAATTCAACCTCAATAACTAGTGGGTTTTTGTCAAAAACTCATTTTTCCTCCAAAAAAGTTATTGTTTTTGCTGATAAAGATGACAATTCAAGTTCAATAGCAAGTGGGGTTTTGTCAAGAACTAATTTTTACCCCAAAAAAGTTGCTGTTTTTGCCTCTAAAGATGATAATTTAAGCTCAATAACAAGTGAGGTTTTGTCAAGAACTGTTTTTTTCTCCAGAAAGACTAAGAAATTTGCTGTTTTTGCTTCTAAAGATGATAGGAATAGTAATAAGCTTGACCAGTGGGACCAAATGGAACTCAAGTTTGGCAGATTAATTGGTGAAGACCCAAAATTGACCTTAGCTAAGGTTTATTTCTCTCATTTAAACTTGCACTAATATGTTCATTGTTTTTTTAAACTTATTTATTCAGAAAATTATGTTCTTAATTGGTTTTTAAATTTTTCTTTGCTTAGTTAAGAAATTAGTTACTCACTTTGTTCCAATTTATGTGACATTGCATGGCTATAACATGTCATATCTTTTATATGACTATAGAAAGCTTGTCATTATTGATTTCAAATATAGAAATCTGTCCGTCGTTTTGGAACAGACTGATAAGGAAATAGTGTCAATTAACTTGTGAGTGAGGGGATATGTAGGATTCATATTGCTGACATACAGTTGGTAGTGTATAGTTAAGAGACTTTTTAAATGATTTCAAAATTGAATTTTGAGTAGTCCAGTGGCCTTTCTACTTGTGTGTTGAGAGTGGGGAGTTTTATCCCCTCTAAAGTTTTAAACTTTGATTCTGTTTACCAACACAATGTGGATTCTAGAGGAAAGAGAACTACACCTGCATCTAGAATTGAGACAAAGTTGATAGTATCAATAGTCAAGAGATTTTTCGAAACAACGCGATTTCAATTTGAGTTGTACAATTTATATAGCGGTCGCGAAGACTAGTTTAGGATTATGACATAGTTGATAGTATAGATAGTTAATAAATTTTTTGAATTAATACAATTCGAATTTGCATTGTATGATATATATAGCCGACACGAAAACTAGTTTAGGATTGAGACATGGTTGATAGTATAGATAAAAGAGACTTTGCGAAATCAATGCAATTCAAATTTGAGGAGTTGAGTGATTTTCCTCCCTGTTGGTGAGAATGGAGAGTTCTAGCCCTTGAGAGTTTTATACTTGGCTTTGGTTAACAGCAAAATGAGGGTCATTAAAGGGAAAAAAAAATTAATCCTGCATCTGGAATTGTACAATCATATACTGTAAGTTGATATCTGCTAACATGTTATCAGTTTCTTAGTATGGACTTTATGTGTAACTTCAATTTTTTAAAATTTCAGTCTTTCATGCCAAAGTTAAACATCCCTGCTTGACTATTGTATGTTCCTATTTGCTAATTGCTTAGAGTTATTTTCCATTGAAGAGGAGAAAAAGGTTAATAGTAATTTGAAAGAAGTTCTCAGATTGGTTCCTGTATGTCCTTGCAAAACTTCTGTTGGTTCAATGCTGTATGTATCTGTCTATTTCTGATTGTGATTCTTGATTTCATAGATAATTAGTAGGAAAACAAACCCGGAGACATCTTATCTTGAAATTGAAGAATCATTTGACCAGAAGAAGGGAAAAACGTCCGGTGAAATTGTGGAGGTTCCATTTGATGCATCCAAGCAAAAGAAATCTCTCAATTCATCAAATGGATTAAATTTGGTTCGCCCTGTGCCCAAGAAGGGTGTTAAGTTCGAGGTTGATGAAAAACCACCAAAAACTGAGGGTTATAAACAAAGCCAACCAATTTCAAGACCTGAAGTAAGTAGAAAAAGTAGTGTTCCAAATGTCATATTGCGAAAACCAAGTTTGTATTCTGAGGAGGATGAATCATCAAAATTCAAAATTAAGCCAAACTTGACACTGAAAATGGGCAAAGAACTGAAACCTGAGAAGTTTAGTGATGTTACATTGTTGAAGAAGCCGGAACCAATGAGGATCAGCTCCGACGATAGTGAAAAGAATGGACAATCAAGTGATAAGCCTAGTGATGCTACATTGTTGAAGAAGCTGGAACCAATGAGGATCAGCTCCGACAATAGTGAAAAGAATGGACAATCAAGTGATAAGTCTAGTGATGCTACATTGTTGAAGAAGCCGGAGCCAATGAGAATCAACTCTGGCAATAGTGAAAAGAATGGACAATCAAGCGATGTCTTGCCTGTATCTAGTGATGACTCCGTAGATGCTAGTCTTACAGAGGTGTATGCATCAACTAGTGAACCCAAAAACAGCTTGTTTCTAAATAAGCCAGAGCCTAGTAATTTAAATCTAAAGATAGATCCAAATCAAGAATCTTCCGAGGCTCAGCATCCTAGTATTTCGGATGAAAGTACTTTGAATGCTGCTAACTCTTCTTCTGAGCTTATAAGTATGGCAGAGAATAAACTCCGCCAACCGTTACAATCTAGCAGAAGCAATCCTCTTGAGAAGCAAGGCTTTGGTACAGGTAACAGGATTCTGTTCTTGACAGATAGTCATCTGAGTGGTAATTTAGCATCTTAATCAGCGTACTTGGTTGTTTTTCAAGGATTCCAGCAGACTGATACACAGCCTGCTGAGAGAAGTTCTGATTCCAATACACCTTCTAAGACTGGACCCATGGAATCTTTGGATGCTGCTCTTCGTGGAAAACCGAAAAGGTACTTGTGGACGTTGTTTTGCCCTTCTATACTTTGCTGTTATTTTGTTCTTGATTAATAACTTGTGCTACTATAGATTAGACCAACCTAAAAAGGAAGCATCAAGTGTTAGTAAGGAGGATATGCGCCCTGTCAAATCTGAGGGCTATGGAAATGCTTCAGAGATTGAAAACTTCCTGGCAAAATCATCCACTAAGGTAGATTAATTTTTTCCTTTTTAAGCATCCGTTCCTTAACTAGGACGAATGTATTGATGAATACTGAGTGCTGCAATCTCGTAGGAACATGAAGATAATGACTGGGTAAGAGCTGAAGAGCTTGTTAAGAGTGGGGGAAGAGAGGATGTGGAACTAGTCAGCTGTAGCACCAGAGGCTTTGTTGTAAGTCTACTTACTACCCAACTCATCATATTACTTCATTTTTGTTTTTGAAGGTGCACATCTTCTCTCAACTTATTCCTTACGGATACTCTCGACGTCTTTTTACAGGTATCTTTTGGTTCCTTGATAGGATTTTTGCCATATCGCAATCTTGCAGCCAGGTGGAAATTCTTAGCTTTTGAATCTTGGTTGAGGCAAAAAGGCTTGGATCCATCCCAGTACAAGCAAGGTCTGGGGATCATTGGAGGCTATGATGGTTTTGGCAAGGCAGCTTCTCCTGAGGCAGGAGTAGATCCGCAAATTGCTAAAAATGCCGATGAGGAGATCTCGCCAGATATGAAACTTGAAGATCTTCTCAGGATTTATGACCAAGAGAAACTCAAGTTCTTATCATCATTTGTTGGTCTGGTGAGGAGGGCTTCGTTATTTAATCTCAATCTTAGAACTTTGAGAAAGACCATAATTTTTTATCTGTGTCATGTAGAGGATCAGAGTAAGTGTGGTGTTGGCTGACAGATATTCCAGAAGGCTAATATTCTCGATAAAGGCAAAAGAAAAGGAAGAATTGGTCGAGAAGAAGAGGAGCCTTATGGTAAGAAAATTGCATTCTCGAAAGCTTGCAATTTTTTTGCTTAATCTTTATCAAACTGGCCATCTCACAAACATCCTAGCTTCTATGGAATTTGGTTTCGGTTTTCTATGTGGAACTGATCATGAATATTGTAACTGACTGCAAGATATCCAACCTAACTTCTTTCTCCTTGTTCTATGTTGTTCAGATAAGAGATCTAGTAAATAGCTAGGAACCCTTGTAGAAGGACATAAGCTTGGTGTCACTGTTAATAAGATAATAGAGGGATGACAACAAGAAGTTTCTTAGTTAATACTTTGTCATTCTCTTCAACATTTCTGTTTGCCTTCCTACATACGACCAGTTTCCTTCTTTTCCATCTCCTTGTGCATTGCCTAGTCCGTTAACAGAAAGAGATGTTTACTGATGAAAGGCTAGTTTTTTTTTTTCTCTTGTAAATTAGCTTTGAGCAATTCCAGAAAATAGCAATTAGGTATTGGTTGAACAAATGTACATGTTATGTTAGATCTTTCTCCATATAAAAGTAGGAGTACATAAAATCAAAAGTAGTAATATATATGTTGATCGGATGCATGTTACTTGATTGGAAATATTGTGTTTCATATAAATGATGCAGCAAGTTGTTTGTTCTTTAATGTTCACGGTGAGTAAGGTGTAGCGCTGTGAACTTTTGTGGTTATGCTGCCATGTTTCACCAAAAACTCATAGTATATCTCTTGGACAATAAACCATTGTTACTTTTATAAAACACAACTTTGAAACGTTTGCTTGGGTCATTTTTCTGCAACTTAACAATTACTGTAGGTCACTATAATTTGTTGAGTTATTGATTTTCTTTAACTTGTGGAACTTTTAATCTAGAGATAGTTTGTGAAATATTCCGAAATCCAGCACTTCGAAGAAGATTCTGTAAAATGTCAAATCTAGGACACCTATTTGATCTTCTGATGCAGCGGTTTTGAAGTTCATATTTATTATTTCAAGTGCCCTACCTTGCTCTTTTTGCTGCCCCTGCACTCTGCTTTAGTTTTCATGTGTCTCTTCATCAGGAACAGAAAACACTCGTGGTTGCTGCTTAATAGGCTATTGTGTATGGATTTAGACACTTTATCAGTGTGCTTTATATGCCTTTCCTGTGATCCTGGTGAAATTTTGATATATAACAAGTTATGGAGACTTTCTCTGTCAATCTATGTTAGATATGGGATATCGACATCTTCCACTTTTGAAATGAAGTTGGTCATTGAAAACCCATCCCCTTCCTCTCAGCCCCCAAAATAAGGGACTTGTTGTTTGGGATTGGAAAGAAGCTGGAATATCTGCAATATTACCAATGTATTTTGGATAATTACTGTATGCTACCTCTCAGTGTTAGTTATTCTGAATCTTGCTCCCACAATGAAGTCACCGAGCTTGTGTGATTTGCATTGCAGGCAAAACTTCAGGTTGGGGACGTGGTAAAATGTTGCATACAAAAAATTACCTATTTCGGTATATTTGTCGAGGTATATCAATGACAGTAGCATGAGCTTCTTATGGAAGTAACTCCAATCAACTATTGATTACATCTTAAATTTGCAACACTTGAATATAGGTTGAAGGAGTACTTGCGCTAATTCACCAGACAGAAGTCTCATGGGATGCCACTTTAGACCCTGCGTCATATTTTAAAATTGGCCAGGTAGTTGCTTCTCTATAAATATGCATAAAAAAATTGTAATTCATACCTTCTGATGTAAAAGTAAAATGAAATTTAACTGATCCTTATAGATAAGTATAGTGTTTTGAGTTATGATATATCCATGCTGTCTCAGAGTTTATTGAATATATTGTTCATGTGAATGTATTGGAGGTTAAGCGCATAATACGTTCTCTGGTAATTTCAGAGCTAACTATTTTAGAGATATCTTAGTTTCTGAAGAAAGTTATCCTTGTAGATTGTGGAGGCAAAAGTTCACCAGTTAGACTTTTCACTTGAGCGCATCTTCTTGTCGTTGAAGGAAATAACGGTAAATTTCTTCCCATCTTGATACAATAACATTCCTTTTGAGCTGAGGGTCTATCAGAAATAGCCTCTCTACCCAGGTAGGGGTAAGGTTTGCGTACATCCTACCCTTACCCTCCCCAAACCCGGCTTGTGGGATTACACTATGTATGTCGTTGTTGTTAAGGAAATAACGGTACTGTCTGTTTTTTTTCCTGATATTGTATGGTAAGATTGATATTGACCTATGCCTTTATAAGTACTTTCTGCAGCCAGATCCCATGATGGAGGCCTTGGAGGCTGTAGTTGGTGATCATGATAATTTGAATGGAGAACTCCAAGCATCAGAGCTGGATACTGAGGTTTATGTTCTCACCCTTGCAATTGAGTAGTTTTATTCCTTTTGAACTTGATTCAATTTACCAAAGACGCCTTAGCTCAATACGTCATGGTTGTCCTCAATTTCGGTTAAAAGAAAACTTAAATTTTATCATCTCAGCAATGAATTGCATAAATAACTCATGTAGTTATTGTTGATACTTGTATCATGATTCCCTACATTTGTTGCAAATAGATTTCTTTACGTCATTGGTAAGAACAAGGGAGCATTTGCTATCCCTATTCTACTGGCCAGTGGTTCATAACTCAACAACTGGAGTATCATTTTAGCGTTTGGATAGGGTCTTCATTGATGGCAGTTAGGAGGATGTTTCGTAATAGAATTCATTCGGGTTTAAACGATGTACTGTATAAAGAATTTGCTGCATTTTCTTGGGGCCTTTTCTTTAGGCATAATACATAAATAGATATTTTAACTTGGCCTCAATTGACAACTAAACACGCCAACTTTGAGCACATCTAGACACCTCAATATGTCTCCATTGTGTCCAGTTGAACACTCCCACTTACAAAATGATCTTCTTCACACCTCCAAACTTTATGTGTCACATCAGGGTCTTCATTGACGGCAGTTAGGAGGATGTTTCTTAATAGAATTCTTTCGGGTTTAAACGATGTACTGTATAAAGAATTTGCTGCATTTTCTTGGGACCTTTTCTTTAGGCATAATACATAAATAGATACTTTAACTTGGTCTCAATTGACAACTAAACGCTCCAACTTTGAGCGCATCTAGACACCTCAATTTGTCTCAATTGTGTTAGTTGAACACTCCAACTCACAAAATGATCCTTTTCATACCTCCAAAATTTGTGTTAAACGTCAGCTTCAGGTGTCCACGAGACACTGTAGGGACGAGTTGGAGTGTTTAGTTACCAGTTGAAACCAAGTTGAGGTGTCTAGGTGTGCACTTTCAAAGTTGAAGTGCTTACTTGCCAATTGAGGTCAAATTTGTGTATGTTTTTGTATTATTATGCCTCTTCTACTATATTAATGAAGTATTAGGTGCTCCATGTATCCTAATATGGCTTGTGTTGAGGTCGGTTCCCCTTAAAGACTGAAGAGATGTAAGGGTGTCAAATAGGCGGGTTGGGTTGAAATTGAGTCAATGTCTTCTTGAATATGTTGCTTGGACTCTCCAAATATGTTGCCGCACCCATGTTAGATCCTTCAAAAATGCACTACTTTTGAAAGATCTGACCTTGCACCTGTTGGCATTTTTGAAGAATCCGAGCAATATAGCTTGAATCTACTGCTGAATGTTAATATCTTGTGGATATGTTAAAAATACATTTCAAAAGCTTGAGACAAGCACCCATAGCTTTGGTTTGGTTTAGTAAGGGGAAAAATCCGAAGCTTCTCAATGTGTCTATAGACCATCCTTTTCTACTAACTGTCCTTGGTGCTTCCCGATATATTATAAACCTTTACAACTCAAATCAATTGTAGAGCGTTTTCTTGAAGTACAAAAATATGAAATCATTAATGAATCTGATCTTCGATCGTAATATACATTTGCGTTTGTCGATGGCTGATAGTAGATTTTTCATGCAATGCTGTGCAGTGGCCTGACGTGGAGTCTCTTATCAAAGAATTACAGCAGTTCGAGGGTATTTCCTTTGTATCAAAAGGGAGGTACTTCTTGAGTCCTGGTTTGGCTCCAACATTTCAGGTATCACCTTACAGAAAAAATAAGCAATATAACTAAAAGATATGGAAACTAAAAATTGACTAGTTCACTCACTGCTAAACAACCAAGAAAAACAATTTGAAGGTGTTCATTTTGTAGTTATGGGAAGTAGTTCTAGTGTGGCCTTTGTACAAGCTATTTATGAGATCGTAAAAATGCATCACCTCCTTTCATTTGACTAAGCACGAGTCAAGCTTTTTCTGAGATTGTTTTCACATAGAATGAGATAAAACCTTCTTTCCGCATAACATTCTCTTTTGCTACTTAAAATTTAATTTTATGGCACATTTTTAGGCGCAATACTTACAGCAATGCATTAGGTTGAGAGGTTTACAGTCAAAGCATGTAAAAGATAGTGCATTCAACTGTGGATTGTCGGCTTTATTGTTTTTTGGAAGATTTTAATCATTGATTTTCTATTAGGTTTATATGGCATCCATGTTTGAGAATCAATACAAGTTACTTGCTCGGTCGGGAAATAGAGTACAAGAGGTAAAAATTTAAAGTCCTCCTTATTTTGCCCTATTGTTTTGTCATAATTTTATATCTGTCAGTGCTCTTTTGCAAAAGAAGGGTAAAGTTGCAGTTTTGAAAGCGGTGTCGTGAAATCATGATTAAAATGTTCAATTTTCATGTTCATATCAATCCAGTATTTAATTGAAGCTTTCTATGATTTCCTGAAGTCCAAAATGCTTGACGTGTTGTAGTCTGACAAACTTCTTGGGTAACTTATCACCTTTTCGCGAGAATGAAATTCTATAATCTAACACCGAGGGTGTGGCCTAATGGTCAATGAAGGTTGAGAACCATGAGGTCTCATGATCAAATCCAAATGGATGCAAAAATATTGAATGATCTATTCTCGTATTTGTCCAAACCTCAGTGGACAGAGTTACCCGGTACTAGTGCTAGTGGGAGATAGCAGCTACCCATAGAATTAGTTGAGGGGAATGCAAGGGGGTCCGGACACTGATGATTAATTAAAAAAAAGAATACTACAATTAGACGTAGTTGGAGAGTGGAGACCATTGATGTTGAAGAATTATGAAGAGAGAAAAGACAGGTTATATTGGGCTGTAATCGAGCTTGATTAGTCATGAGCTTCTCAGGGAATTTCTAGTACAGATTCCTGGTGGTATCGGTGGTGGTTGACGTATCATCATTAAATCCTGGAAAAAGAAGAGAAATAAAACCTTTTTCTTCATTCTTGGTTATGTTGGTTTTTCTTGTTAAATATTTGGAGCGGAGGGGTTAAACATTTTCGATGTGATACTTAGAACCAGGAAATTATGTATTAGATGATAGATTGAGGTAAATTTGGACACTAATTTAGGTGATCCACACTAACGCCATCATCAATGTGAGATCTTTGCAGTATCAAGAAACTTGGACCACTCAATGCTAGTTGAACGTCTGTAACAACCTCAAGGTTTACCTATACCTAGCTATAACTTGCCCGTTCGTAGACTTCATTCTGTCATGTCATTATATGTTTTCCAACTTGTAACTCCATTTAGATACTCGAACTATGGTTTGTGATGATTGATCACCTAAACATGTGATAAAATGTTTTATTAGATAACTTCCGGTTCAAGTTTTGAAGAAGTTTCTATGCATGTTCTCAAGCGCCTATTAAGTAAAAAAAATTTAAGCAGTTGTCGATGTATTCCGCCTCAGAAGCAACCGGAGATGTATGTAAGTCTTTTATATGGCAATACTAATTGGTGCTATTTGGACATTGTTTTGTGCAGGTGATAGTGGAAACATCATTGAGTAAAGAGGAAATGAAATCTGCAATTCAATCTTGTACAAACAAAGTTGAATAACCAATCAAAACGTAATAATAAATAATACGAAGAGAGTGACCGTGGAGACAACGAACGGATGGTAAGAGTCTGATACCGAATTAGCAGAGTCGGAAGTTATAGCAGCAGAAACGGAGAAAAGAAATGACCTAAACCGCGTTCTATTTTGAACGAAAATGGTATTAATTTTATTGTTTTGCCTTTGATATCAATAAGTTAGGAGCTTATTTACTTGCTAGTAAGTGTTTTATGTTTAAGCATCGATGTAATACGCTTAAACATCAATCGATTACGCTTCAATATCAAATGAGTTGTGGTCGACTATATGAATTCTCTGTCAATTTTACTGTGTGCATTGTGCAGGTTCATGTTGATGTATTCTCTGTCAATTCAATATTTAGCTGTAAATGATGCATTTGTGTTTTCATCCGGTGTTTGATAATGCACTTTTGAAGAATCCAACACGGGTTGCAGCAATAATTTTTTGATAGTCCGTGCAACATAGTTCTTAATAATATTTATAGCTTTATTTGTATGTATCAGAAGAGTCGAGGATCTATCAGAAACAACGTCTTTACCTCCAAAGGTAAGGGTACACTTTATCTTCCACAGACTCCACTTGGAGGATTATACTGAGTATGTTGTTGGTGTATGTATTAGAATGTATATTTTCCCTTGGATATTGGTATGGCGGATATTTTGATACTTTTAACTTTAATGTTAGGAGCGTCTCACTTTTAGTATATTATGATTATGATCTAATGTTCCTACCAGCAAAACCTATGTTCAGGTTCAAATCAGTCAGTAAAACTTCTTTATAACAATATTTAGGTATAATGGTCAAGTTTCTTGTGGAATCGATTATGTTATATTTATGTTCTCTATTATTATATTTTACTATAACAGTTGAAAAGTATCCGATCAACAGACACGGTTATAGAGAGATTTGACTTTGGATAAAGAACCAACGATTATGTTATGTACGTATGTTATATGTTCTCGAGAAGATCTATCTATTCTGAAACTACATGTCTCGAATTCAACCACAGGGAAAGGGAACGGTTCCCCCATTTTATAAGCCTTATTCTAAAAATTAAAGGTCTCAAATTCAAACACTGAAAACGCAGATCTCGACGGGAAACAATTATGTTAGGTACTTATGTTATTGATAAGATTTATCTCTTCTAAAATTAAAGGTCTCGAATTCAACCACAGGGAAAGGGAATGGTTCCCCCATTTTATAAGCCTTATTCTAAAACTAGAAGTCTTGAATTCAAACACTAAAAATGCGGATCTCGATGAGAAACAAAAAGAGATCAAAAGAGAATGGCTTCGCCCGGGCTCGAACCGGAGACCTTCAGTGTGTTAGACTGACGTGATAACCAACTACACCACGAGACCTGTTTGTTTCATTTTGTACCACAATTTAATATATTCTATCTAATTTGTTTGATCAAGTTTAAGAAATAAAATACTTTTAAAATTTGTGAGTCTTAAGCATGCCTTGACATTTTGCATGTTATAAGACTATTAAAATTTCTAATCTTAAATATGTCATAATATAAGAAATAGTCACATAAAATTGAAAAATATTGGTACACGATACTTATTAGATATACATATAAATATTGTCGCATTGTCGAGTTCTTCAAAAATATACTATTTCTGAAAATTTTGTGACATATCCGTTAATATTTTTTGAAGAGTCTGAACAACATAAGCTAATTATGTATTTCCTAAACTCTATTTCTCCATTATAACTTGATGAAAATCCTCATTCAACTCACTTTTATCATCATGAGTGTAATGGTAAAATGCAAATTATGAATCAAATCATTTTTTCAAATTTAAACTATAATAAAGTCATTTTTCTAAAACAAAGAAATAGTGTCACATAAATAAAAAAGGACTCGATACAAGATATGTTAATATCTTGAAAACTAGTATTAATGGTACACATACTTTTGTTAATTGGACACACATATGAACTCAACTTAATCAAACATATGTATCCTATTGCTTATACGCTCCTAAAATGTGGCACCAGTATGTATCAAACCTCAAAAACTGTACTCTTTTTCAAGAATCTGACACATACATCAATCGATATTTTTAAGAGTCTGAACAATATAGATCTTTAGAAGGCTATTAATTTTATATGTCCTCCATTATATCTTGATGAGACTCTTCATCATTCAACTCACAATTATTATCATGAGTAGTACTAACCAAATTAACAAGAAAATCAAAAACATCAGTTGCTATAATAGCAGATGCAACATCATCTTTTTGTAGAGTACTTCTTCTTTTTTCATGCATATTATTATTTGTCATAATAATCCATGCCCTTTTTGTTAATTCTTCAATAAATAATTCACATGCCTTAGAAAAAACAATTGGAGCTTCACCAGAAATCATCTTTACATCATCACTTGATTTCTTCATTATTTTCTTGATTCTTGCTAGTGGCAATGAATGTGGACCTGTTTTTCTTGAAAGAATTCCTGAATATGCCCCTGCTTGCCTCATTTTTTTTCCGGGAATTTATCAGAAACAGTCTTCCTACGTTCACCAGATAGGGGTAAAACTACGTACACACCACCCTCTCCAAATCCTCACGTGTGGAATTATACGAGATATGTTGTTGTTGTATATATATATATATATATAGGAAATTTTGATTAAAAATAAATTGTGATTTTTTTTTTTGAGTTTATAATTTGTTTGAATTATTTCAAGAGGGATATTTGCATGAATATATATAGATATTAGGATGGCCGGCTGGCTTGGCCGGCTAGAGGGTATTAGCTAAAGACTATTTCACAAAAAAAAATTAATACTATTCAATATTTGGAGGGTTTTCCAAATTTATATAAAATTTGATAATTTTTTCTTTAAATGTCAACTTATTAATTTTGGTAATTATAAGGTGTGGGTTTTATTGAAAACGGTCGTTGTACCTAATGAGGTAGGGGAAGGTTTGCATACATTCTTATTCTTCTCAGATCGACTTTATTGTGAGATTACATTGTTGTTGTATTTAGCTAAAGGGGTTATTTCCGATAGAGTCCTAGACTCAAGTGAAAGTATTTTAAAGCGACGGAAATGAAGAAGTCAAGACAATACACTAAAAAAAGCATGTCAAAGCATTCTAATAGAGGAACTAAATATTACTCCCTCTGTTTAAAAAAAAATGACCTAGTTTCCTTTTTAGTCTGTTTAAAAGAGAATGACCCCCTTTTCTTTTTTTGGCAACACTTTAACTTTAACTTTCCACGTGACATGTTTAAGGCCACAAAATTAAAGGGCATTTTGGTACATTTGACATAACTTTAATTTAGAACCACAAGATTAAAAAGTCTTCTTTATTTTCTTAAACTCCGTTCCAAGTCAAATTGGGTCATTCTTTTTGAAACGGAGGGAGTACAAAACAATATGATAATCAAAGTACAAGAAACAAAAATAAGTAACAAGGACCGAATACTGCCGGAATAATAATACAACAACTTGTAAGGAAGGATAAGTAGGACAATACTCAACTAGTTAATTAACCTTCTACCCTTATCTCTCTGATCTATATAACCTCTTATCTAAGGTCAAGTCCTCGGTCAACCGAAATTGCGTCATGTCTTGACTAATCACCTCTCCCCAATACTTCCTCAGCTTACCTCTATCTCTCGTGAAACTATTCATAGTCAACCTCTCACACCTTCATACTACTGATGCATCTCTTCTTCACTTTGTTCGAACCATCTCAATTTTACTTCCCGCATCTTGTCCTCAATCGAGGTCACTCCCATCTTGCTCCGGATATCATCATTTCTAATGGTATCTAAGTTTTCTAAGTTTCATATTCTTTCTATTTACTAATTAGTGAGGTAGGTCTTTTCTGAATTTTCATTGATGACCACATCTAAAAAAGAAGTTTTAAAATGCTAGTGGTCAATAATCATATCAATTTAATTTTTAATATGAACTTCCATAGCATCATCTGATTTTAATAAATTGAAGTTGACTAAAATTAAAATCTACGTACAATAATATTATTGCTTATCAGGACAAATTAACTACAACTTTTTGTGAAATTGACAGGATATTTAATTTAAAGATCATTGTTGATTATCATTATTTTTTTTATAAAAAACTCAAATTAATAAAATATGTAATCAAATAGTACTTGCTAATTATGAATATAAGCATAATCTATGAACCAAACATAAAGAAATTAAAAATAGACTAATGGTATTATTATTTTTTCCTACAATAAATTGTGTGGTCAAATATATATAATGCTACCTTTGATTTGAATGCATCCAATTTTTTTAGTTTAGGACCATTATATATTTGAAAGCATCAAACAAAAGGATATCGTTAACTTGTTATTTTCTTACCTTGTCTTTTGAAAAAAAATAGTTATTGTCGTGGAATTTTAAAAGTTCGAATATTTGAAATTTGGCATATCAGACAAAAGTGTAAAGAAACTTAGGTTGTAGAAATAGCGTTAATTCTCCATTTTTCAGCTTTATCTTTAAAAAAATAATCAATATTATGGAGTTTCAATTTATACGCGAAATTCCATGACAATATCCTGTTATTTCACTTGTTGAATTTGAAACTCAAATAATAATGTCTATTTTTCAAGTGCAAAATATGACTATTGTGAATTTTACCTATTTGGGCTTATGTACCAACTCATGACAGTTTGACTTTAGATGGCCCATCAGATTCAATAATTGGGCTGCAATGGGTGGGCTTATATTCTATTTTGGAAAAATATTAGTACATAAATACACAATTTAAGATATCATAATATCTAAAATTCTCTATCATTTAAAAATATTACAAAAATCGTCTCTCGGATACATCTCTATCCCCTCTCGAATACATCTCTCCTAATAAGTAATGTATCATTCGCAATGTATCAGACAATCAAGGAATATATCTGAGAACAATGAAAATTTGGGATTTTTGTAATTGAGAAAGCTTCCAGAATAGGATGTAAATAACCTCTAAATGTATGAGATTTCTGTAAGTTATACATCTATTTTTCCTTTCATTTACTATGATTGTCAGAGCCTAGAGGCGTAGCTAAGATTTCAATATTATAATTCTTAATTTTAGAACGACTTTAAATATTAATAATCGAATTCTAATTAAGAAAAAAATATACTAATTGAACAAAAACTAATAAAATGCAAAAGTGCCATTATATCCACTAATATTTACAAGGATATATGAGTGACTATATCAAAGAACATGATTATATATGACTATTAGATAGTCCCCTTTACTACTTTCCTCAACCTTCTTCCTTTTATATTGCTCATCAT